TCAGAGATGTATTATACTGCGCTGTGAATGCACAAACTCATATAATTGTTGAGATGAGTCGTAACCTTGGAACTTTGGCTGAGATTCAGACTCTGGCACAGAAGGTTGAATCCATCAAGGTTAGAGTTGATGGATCAGCACGGATTGGGATAGATTAATATAGCCATTATTGGATCTAGAGGGGTTGAGGACCAATGGAACTTTAAGACAAAGAGGAAATTATCTCTGCCTGGCCCCAAAACAAGTTCTTATCTGAATCTGGTGCCCTTGAGCCTGTGAGGCTGAAGTGATTACACCCCCTCAGAAGAAATGTGGAATGCTGCCGTTGCCATGGTATCTCTGTCTCCCTATCCCAGCCTGGGCGGGACTGCAACCGGTGAAGGCCGTTGAATCGTTTCCAGGAGTCACTGTGCTCTCTAACCCAAATACCTCCTTCCCCTGTCTAAACGGAGGTGACGGGCGCTGCTTATCGTGGCTGCATGCACTGATGTGAGGAGAGTCCTCTACCCTACCTTCCCACCTAGTGGACACTTATGTTGTGCTATATCTGAAGTCTGTTGCATCTCTGTCTGAGGTGTTTTTGCATAGCAAAGCTGCCCTCCCTGTGGAGGGTAACTCTGAAGTGCCTTTTTTTTCCTCCACCTGACCAAATCCTCATGTAAACCCTCTGGTCTCTGATCCTAATCTGAGGTAGCGCAACTCGGGTTGTGAATGACCACAGTCACCAATTCTTGTCATGTGTCTATGCCTATGTATGTATGCCTGATCTCAGAATTGTGTGTACTGAAACTCTAATTTCCCTCTGGGATAAATAAAGTATCTTTGAATTGGAATTGAATTGAACGAGTGAGTACAGAAGGTAGAGAACGTCTGTGAATAAAAGCCTCATTTGACCATTGATTTCACATGTCAGCAAAGTTTGCATTAAAAGTGTTTTTGCTCAGTATTTGTTCTCAAAATTTCAATTTAACAAAGTTTATTTAAAAAGAGTGTTTTTATTTATTTATTTTTTTTTCTTTTTTTCTTTTCCCTGAAGATTAGTCTTTGAATCGGGGTTGTCCTGTATTTGGGTGAAAATTGTAAAAAAAAAAAAAAAATTATTCTCAACAACATTTCGATGGATATTTCCAGAGATTAACGTTAAAAATAAACACGGTCTCTTGAAGCAGAAATCTGAAGGGTGTTCTTCATAAAAAAACAGCTGCAGTACCTGAGTTTGACCACAGGGTGTCATTCATTTTTACATATTGCACCTTTCATACTATGAATTTTTTTCTAAGAAACATTGAACAGAATTCATGAAATGGGGGAAACCTCCAGACCAGCGCTTAGCTTTTCCCACTCGCAGCACTGTTTAAATTCTGCAGTTTTTTACAAATCGTAAAAGTTTGTACAAATTAAGGAAAGGCAGTTGAAGTGGTGACTTCTAACCAGTCTGATAGCTAACATATGTACATAACACTCATTTTAAAGGTCAACCTTATGATCATTGTCACACACACAGCTATCACACCGTTTCATCACATTTGATGTTATTCTTGGAGCTCTTGCTTGGATATTTTAAACAGCTGCACACATCGGTATATTTAAAGGCTTGTGAAGATCACATCCCTGCTGTCCATCCTGGACTTCCCCCAGTGTTCACACCAAACACAGCACAGCAACTGAACAGTAAGTGCTGACCAGGGAGAACACTGGCTCCTCTGCAGCTACCGGTGTCAAAGGAAATCTGGCCTCTTTGCACCTTTTTCCTAAACTTTGCTGCAACCCATGGAAGTTGATGCTGATTCAGGCTAACGGTGATGCACAAACGGGGAGCGTACGAGGAAGGGAGGGGATTCATGTTTTCAAAAACAAGTCATGCCTGTTGAATCACGACTCGGCTCCCTCCCACTGGAAACACAGATTCCTCTGCAAGCCTTCTCTGGGAATTCATCCAAATCTCTTTATTTGTTTTCTCCTGCGTAGATACTCCCTTAGGCGAAAGCAAATGGTACACCATCAGGACATACAACAAACTCAAACCCAAACATCCGGATGCCGCAGCCCTTACTGATGGCACCTGGAGAGGTAAATTCTCCCAACACAAGAGGAAGATTCTGAGCGGAGAGCTGGTGTGAGATTAAAGGTTTAGTCGTGGATGTTTTTAAAGGCACAGACGGTTGTGAAATCCTACTGCAGAAGGCAGACAGCTGCATCCACCATTCAGCTTAAAAGCAGATAGATATTGTCAGAGTGCAGAGGCACCATCACCTCTAGAATGGATGTCTCAGAAAAAAAGTCTGTCAGCTACTGCTCAGCACTCAGACGCTGATTTTAGCATGAAGCCACAGGTCCGCTAAGACCTCTCTAGACCAGGAGCTTCACTGAACTGAAATCTTTCTCACACATCCTCACTCTGAATGAGAACAGGACAGTCGTCCATCAAATTACCAGGTCCATGCGCCGAAATCACCACCCGCTCCACTGCTCTCTTCACCAGAGAAAAACCAACAGCTGCAGGTCAGAGCAGACAACCACAAAGTCAACCAATGACCTGCGATCTCGGAGACCTCATTAGCTTTTTATACCTTTTACACTGAATCTCATTTTTGGAATCAAAATAAACTGAATCATATTGTATTAAGTTGGTTTTAGTTGCTTTAGTTGGTGGTGTACAACCCTTCAGAACAAAGACCTTCAGTGTTTCAGCCAGAAGAGCCTTTCTCTAAAACAGTAAACAGTTCTCACGGTGCTAGACATGCTTTAAAAGACAACACCCTGCAGACACAGCTGCTGGTGACTGAACTAATCACCTTCTTTCATCTGGGTGGGGGTGATTAGCTCCGCCCTGATGGAAAGAGGTGATTAGTTCAGTCACTAACAGGTGTGTGTGTGTGTGTGTGTGTGTGTGTGTGTGTGTGTGTGTGTGTGTGTGTGTGTGTGTGTGTGTGTGTGTGTGCGTGGCTTTAGAAGATGCTACGTACTGTGAACATGGTTCACTGATCTAGAAAAAAGCTCTAATGGATGAAACTTTGACCAAATGAAGTAATTTGTTGAACACATAGAGTTTGAGCCTGACCCACCTTCTGGCGTAGAGTCAAATATCTCCTTCCACTGAAACAAAGATCCAGCTCTGAAGACGTAGGTCAAAGCAAAGGTCAACAAATCCAGGTTTGGTGAGGGTCAGGTAAGAAGCACAAGACACGTTTCCATTGTCAGAACTTCAGGGTAAATTCTGGGAAGGGGAAATTGACCAGAAGATATGATGGTCCTCTCAGCTGTTGTGTCTCCATTAAAATTCAGCTCTTTCAGGACTCTACAAAGACATCGTGACTGCTTTAGCTGTGACCGATGTCACTGATCAGCGCCAAAAGCATCCACAGTAACACTAAAAGGTAAATTCTGTCAAAGTACGGCAATTTCATCCATTTGGAGGACGAGTGCAGCTGTGTGATGTAAAATGTGGCGTCAGGGTTAATTACGTCATGGGGGTTCTGCTGCCTTTTTCGGTATTTGGAGTTTGGTAACATCAACTTCAAAAGCAGCATGAAAGGTACTTGCTTGTGCTTTTATTCTGCTTCACCAGCAACTCTTCTAATTTTACCAATGCTGGTTGTTTTGGAGGACTGCTGATGTCATTTCCTGCTGAGTTACAGCCAATCAGCATGAGTTGACCAAACATTCCGCTCAGCTACTCGGCCTTTCCGAGTACCTAGTAGAGGCAGACCGATATGCGTTATTTTAAGGCAGATGCTGATACCAATTTTTAAAGAATTTTGTTGCCAATGGCCGATATCTAAAGCCGATTTTTAAAGCCGATTTACACGTTTTAGCAGCACATTGATTGTGAAAGACAACTGAACACTCACTGTGTGCAATATAAATTAAATAAGTCAGAAACGCTTCCTGTTACAGTCCCCCAATTACTAAGTACTTGAAGTGGTATATGCATAGTAAGTTAAAGTATATGATTGTTTCATACTATTGAGTTCTTAAACAGTTATTACCATGTAACTCAGGTTCAATTCTAGTATTTATTTGTAGTAATCATTCCCAGTAAATACCGCTTTACACAAAAATTACACTTTATTACAATAATACACTTTAAGTTACTATGTAATTACCATGTAAATACTTAGTAATTAAGGGACTGTAAAAAGAAGCGTTACCAAAAGGTCAATAAATATCACGTATTTACTGAACTTCAAATTTAAAACAAACTCAAAACATTCAAAAAACGGCGTGTTGAGGTCCTTCGGGTCCTCTCTTTAGTCTAGTAGCGGCAGCAGTTGGCCACATAGGTGCCTGAATTTTTTTTTATTACTGTATTTCTTTTTCTTTTATTGGCTTTAAAAATAATTTTGGACGATATAGTAAAACTTGAATATATTGGCCCGGTTGGTTGGCCTCTAGTGCCTACCCCTGTTCAGGTACTTAGTTGGTTCTGAGAAATGGCCCGTTTTGGCCGGCCGGGTGAAATGAAGACATGTGCATGCTGGGAAGTTCTGGTAAAATTACTCTGAAATCCCCATAGTGGAAACACGCCTATCGTCAAAACAGGCCGATGGGTCAGCACTAGGGCAGCCACGATTATTCGACGCATCACGACGACGTCGACAAAAAAAAATTGTCGATGATTAATTTAATAGTTGATGCATCGTTTATTGTATGAGCAATTTAAAAATCTCGCCTGCAGCAGCACATTTGGCATTTGCCTCCTGCCTCTCTGCTCAATGCACATGCGCACTAGTCGCCATCCGCGTCAGCCGCTGCTGACATAAGTCAAGGCACATGCGCAGTAGCGCCACTCAGCATTTGGACTTGAATCGCCGGAGAAATAACACATCATGCAAGTCGGCAACGGAGCTCAAAGGTTTGGGAGTATTTAGCAAGTAGGGTTCAAACTCCAGTGTGGGGCAAGTTACTTCAAAACGGTAATGCATTATTTATTACTTGTTACACTCATTTTAAAGTAATTCATTACATTACAATTTTACTGATTTTAAAAGGTAAGGCATTACACTACTTTTGCATTACTTTAAGTTACTTTCACCAGAACAACTTCAGTATGAATCTGGTCATGTGACGCTCAGTGAGCTCATGACATATATGTGGAAGGTGATGTGGTGTCTGAGCTAGTATTGCTGTTAAAAACAGTCAGATATAATAACAGTGCTTTAAAATGATTGTTTATTAAATAAATGCAACAACAAACTGTACTCTCAGCACGCTGCCATCTTAGATTAACTGAGCAGGGAGTGAGGTGGTGGGGGCTCCAAGCCTATATTTGCCTTGGTCCTCAAATGCCTTGATACGGCCCTGGATGTGGGACTGACTTCTGGGGTGATCTGATTCTATCACATGTATAAATATTAAATGCTTATATAGTATTGGTTTTCACTGGTAAAATGTGTATTGGGGATAAATCTACCAACTTTTTTTCTTTTCAAGCACTTTGTTTTGTTTTCTTGATTTTATATGAATAATTTTCTGCCCTTTCTCTCTCTAACCTGCCTGCAAGCTGCATGTTTTCTCCGTCTTCCAGAAAAACTGTTTCCTAGATTTCCTACTTTCTAACTAATCAGCCAAAGGGATCTACTGAACACAAATAAATAAATAAATAAATAAATGAATAAATAAATAAATAAATAAATAAAAGCTTAATATGCGCTGCGCTCCAGCAGCAATGATCACCGGGGCACAGATTATGAACTCAGCTGAAAAGGACATGAAGTACCAGAGAATATGGGCTGATATAAACGATCGCAAACGAATGACTTTGTTTTGGTGGAGCGGTTTTGTGAATATAACAGTGGCCGCACGCAGGACGCAGCTGGAGTATTTGAGCCATTACCGCTGCGTCCTCTCTGCTCGTAGACTGCCCGCAAAGCTGAGTCCATAAATGACGTCATATATGTGGATACTGGATCTTTTTTCAGGCTTCCCGCTATTAGAATTTTTAGGAAACCCACATCTTGGTTCTGGGTTTAAAAATGCATTGTAATTACTGCGTTACTGGCAATTGTACCGAGTAAATATTACCATTTTCTTTCCCTGAAATGCCTTACATTACCACATTACAGCAAAAAGCAATGCATTACAGTAGTTAATTACTTTTGTACCACGTTACTCCCAACATTGTCAAACTCTGGAAGGTGAACCTCGTTTCACCGGAGCGATGCACGAGCATCTTAAAAGGAAGCACGTGACGGCGAAGAACGAAGAGTCACCTTTGTAAGTCTTGTTAGCTGCTAGCATCATAAGTGTAGCAACAACAGTAGTGGTGGCGATTACATGTTTAGAACACGTATGTATGTCATGTATTTGCTCTAACGTCACAAACACTAATGATTCATTTGATCCCGCTACGTCACAGAGCTAAAAGAGAGCGCTCTTGTTCTAAAATGGACGAGTTTCTTACAAGACCAAACATGTGCACACCGCATCAAGCCATTGTCCTGACCGAGGCCATTTTGAACATGCGGGCAACGGACATGAGACCCCTGTCCATGGTGGGCGATCAAGGTTTTAAAGATATGATCAAGAAGTTCAACCCAGAATGCTATGACCACTCTTTACCAGGCCAATCACATTTCACCACCATGATGGAAAGGAAATACGAGATGCCCTTCGAAAAGGTGTGTGTGCATGCGTGCGTGCGTGCGTGCGTGCGTGTGTGTGTGTGTGTGTGTGTGTGTGTGTGTGTGTGTGTGTGTGTGTGTGTGTGTGTGTGTGTGTGTGTGTGTGTGTGTGTGTGCACGCATGACACACGATTAGTCGACTAATCGTCAACAATTCTGGCAAGTGGTCGACTAATAAAATAGTCGTTTGTGGCAGCCCTAGTCAGAACTCAGGTACAGGTAGAACTTGGACAAGTGAGCAGTTAGAGCTGATTCCTGTTTTAAAGCCACCTGCTAAAGTACAAATTTGAGTCAAACATTAAGTCTTGTGCGGAGGCATCTGGGTAATTGTTCAGGCTCCGCCTGAGCTGAGAGGTTCCAGTGGAGCCCATCACCCTTTTGGCTGAGCTGAGCTCCCCCTAGCTCCCCAGTAATTCAAACCCTGGGAACAGGTAGAGTATTTAGGCAGAAAACAAAGGTGAATGTATTCAGATTACTCAGAACTACAGAGCGTGGTGACTTGCGGTGAAGCCCAGAGATAACGGAGTCAGAGCTGACTCCAACAGTAATGGCTACATTATAAACAAAGATGCTACATGATTAGTGAGTGTGTTAGTGTTGTTAATGCCAATCACACAAACTCTCATCTGTGAGACTGGCTGAGCTGTAGCTGTTTTCTGAGTCTCCATTCAGGTGGATTGTAAAGGTAATCCGTTAAGTTACATCCAACTAAAATGTACTGACTTTTATTAAAATTGGTTCAATGTTTCATGAAACAATTCACTAACAGACAAGCAAAAACATTATAGTGATGTTTACTGCTCTCCTGTCCCCAGTAGCCGCGGTCACCGGCCACTTTTTCAAACTTCTCTCCACTAACCTCCTCTTTTCCACCTTGCTGCTGTCTGCGATCCTCTTCAGTAGTGTCTCTGCTACCATCTCCTACGATCGCCAGACTCTTTTGTCCTTCCGTTCGTTCACGATCGCCCAAGATGCACCGAGGACTTACCATCCTGTTTGTTTACCTGAGTGGCGCACTGGCCCGGAGCCAAACGAAGGTCCCGATCTGCGCACCTCCAGCGATGTTTGTCCGGTCCCGGGAAAACGTCGGAGGAAAAGAGGTAAACGAGCAGGAATCCAGGTGAGAATAAGACTTCTCTTAAAGCGTGGTTTATCTGGTAAACATCTGCGCGAGCTTCTAGATTCTTGTCCTTTGTTTGGTGACCAGAGTGCCACTTCCGTGTTCCCGCCAGGCCGCGTTGGGACGCGGTTTATCCGTCCAAGTTTTTTAAGGTCGGTTTATCCTCATTCCTCAGTGGTTTCTCCTCCTGTTCCCTCCATAAGTGGTTTTTATAAACACCGTGGAACTAACCCTGCTAATTTATGTCCACTAACTCCAGCTGTTTCTGTAGTTTCTGATTCATCCACCTCACTCAGCATGGCTCTATTAAATTCCCGCTCTGTTAACAATAAGTCCTTCCTGCTCAATGATCTAATTCTGTCTAAAAACCTGGATTTTCTGTTTCTGACTGAAGTTTGGCAGCAAACATCTGATTATTCTGCTCTGATTGAACTCTGCCCGAGTGGTTATTCTTTTCTTAGCCAGCCCCGGGGTTCTGGTCATGGTGGAGGCCTAGCTGTTGTCTACAGAGACCATCTTCCATGAAGCTCTACAACCTCTGGTCACTTTGCTTCTTTTGAACTGCAGCCGATTAAAGTCGGGCGTAAGGACCCGTTCTACTGTGCTGTGGTCTATCGTCCACCTGGTCCAAACAGTTCTTTCCTTCAGGAGTTTAGTGACTTTATAGCCTCCACTGTGAAGCTGTCCAGACTGGTGATTGTTGGTGACTTTAACATCCATGTTGATGATCCCTTCGATCTCTTTGCCATGAATTTCTCCAGCCTTATGGACTCCTTCAGCTTTACCCAGCATGTTTCTGGCCCCAAACACATCAGGGGAAACACTCTGGACCTTGTTTTTACCCTGAGTCTAAATGCTGACAGTGTTTGTCCTGAGGACGTTTATATTTCAGATCACCATTGCATTATCTTAAACTTGTCAGTTTCTGCGTATCCACCTCCTGCTCGCCGTATGGTTAGTTCTCGTTTTCTTAATGAGAGCACAGCTAGCAACTTTTCTGCTGCTTTTGATCCACCCTGTTCTTCTGATACCGACCCAGATTCCTTAACTTCTCAGTTTAACGAGCACTGCCTCTCCATTCTGGACAACATCTGTCCTGTCAGAACCAGATCAGTTCCTGCAGTGAACCCTACTCCCTAGTCTTCTTCTTCTTCTTCTTCTTCTTCTTCTTCTTCTTCTTCTTCTTCTTCTTCTTCTTCTTCTTCTTCTTCTTCTTCTTCTTCTTCTTCTTCTGTGACCCACCTGAAACCTCATCCTCACCATATCAGCCATAAAAGACACAAATTGGCTTTTCCTACCAGGATTAAAATTGTTTGAATGGACAGAGAAACACTCATGACACCACTCAGGATGACAATCAGACATGATATTTAAAGGTGTTAAATGTTCAGGTTGAATTAAGTTAATTGTGTTGATCATTTCAGGATAAACGGCTTCATTAAAGACAGAAAACAATGTTCTGTGTTGTGTTTAGACACCAGTAACTGACAGCTTATTTTACACCATCACCAGACTTAGAATACTTGTCCCTTCTTCCAGGGATGAGAGGGATGCGGTCCAGCTTATTTTCTGCACTGGTGAGTGGCTTATTGGCTGTCTGCTGCCTCCCATTCAGGAACGGCATGACACCAGGGTGAGGGAAAGGGCAGGAAGGATTGCCAACGATCCTAAACATCTCACTAAACCATCTGTTCTGTGGATTTCCACCTTGGGCCTCTAAGGTCACCTGTCCCTCATTAATTTGCAGTTGAACCATCTGAGTACAGATGGATTCATGATGCTTTTCCTCTCCGTCGAGGTCAGTGGGACTGAACATTTGAAAATTTTACCTTCCTGTTTTGTGTTCTGCTTACTGTTCAGATTTGGGGACATTTCCTTCTCCAGAAGTGTCATTTTGTTGTTTACAATGTCTAAATAAACATTTTAGAGGAAGTGGAGACGCCGTGAAATGTTCCAAACATCACTACAAATCTGGACACCACACCTGGATGGGAAAAATGCAACGCTGATGTTTTATCTCCACAAATAGCACCAGCCTGGAGGAGTTCTGCTGTGTGGTGGAGTTGCTAATGCTAATGGTTAGCTTCTACAGAATTGAATAGCCCTGGCGTAAGATAACTACAGTTTTCTTGCTGTTTCATGGTGATTGAAGCATCTTGATGATGGCATTTTACTGACGCAGAGATTCACCCCAGTCACCTACAGAAACCCAAAGTGCCACTTATTGGTTTCTATGGTGTAATCACAGGTTAATAACAGGTCACCATTATGCTATTACTGAAGCAAATGATGAAGGTTTTCAGGCGATCTGTGAGGAAATTCTCAGGGTGACAGATGTTTACATTCAAAGTCCTAAAAGATGCTCAGAAGGAGGTTCAGGAGAGCCGGGATCTCCTCCGTGGAATCAGGAGTTTGCAGGTCTGGAGCATACAGACGTGTGTTAACACCAACGAGGAAAGACCAGCAGCAACTTTAGAAGCACTACTTCTGCCTCACTTTCAG